ACGCCTCTCCCCGCCTCACCGTGTCCCGCCTCTCTCCGCCCCACCTTGTCCCGCCTTTTCCCGCCCCGCCTCGCCACGCCTCGACTTTGTTTTGTTGTGTTTTCGTTTTCTCCACAGCATATATCGCTGCCTTCAAGATGTATATATTAAAATATCATGAAAACCCACCTTATCATGAAAACAATTAACATTATACTTATGCCTTAACCCGCATAAAAAGTAAGAAATTTTCAAAGGAATGCAAGTTCTTTTGATACAGCCCACTTTGGTGTCAGAACCTGGCTTACTGGCCATTTTAGAGAGGGAGTTTGATATGAGTATTGAAATCTCGAAATTGATTTTTCGCAGCATTACATATACAGTAAACCTTCGTTAACACGAATTCCAAGGGAACAAACGAAATAATCGGAGTTTGTATTATAAAAATTCGTGTTATCCGAGTATTATAAATGCCCTATTACCGTAATCCCTTGCCGAGACCGAAGTTTTGTTCTCATTACGGCCAAATTCGTGTTAAGCGAGTTTGTGCTAACCAGGGTTTACTATATTATCTTTCTCTATATTACATACATTACTCAGTGTACACGTAATGCGTATACGAGTAAGTAAATTGTTCAAAATTTGACAGATGCAATTGGTACCAACAAGTTAGTAAGAACGCGAAATCAGGAACACATAAATTTCGAAAATAATTCCTATGTTTGGCGGTGTTATATTGATATAACAGAATACATCTAAGAAATATTTACTGTCATAAGGCCAATAGAGAGCGAGTTGAGTTGAATTTTGTAAATCAAGGCGATATCATAGGTTTATAGTCAACCAAGCTACTTAGTTGTAATACCGACCACGTATCATTCAACACCTTTTGTAAGACCACCTTCTTATAAGCAAAATAATATAAATAAAAAATCTCTTTGATTCGTAGCGATCATAGATTGTTACACAACTCATTTTCTTCGATTGTTCCTAACGGAGGGCGAACCGTTCAAACTCTTAATGAATGCCGACCGTTAAAAGTGAGTTTTCGTTTCTTATGAAATAATTATAAACGTTGTCATTGCCAACAATAGTATTTATTATAAGAGCAGCTTTTGATGGCTTAGCCATCATCATCAGTTGTCTGGTACAAGAAGAAAAAACAAAACATTAAACATATTTTTTCTTCTTGTACCAGACAACTGATGATAATGGCTAAGCCACCGAAAGCTGCTCTTATAATAAATACTAATGTTAGCAACGGCAACGTTTATAATTATTTCATGAAAAATGCCAACGATAACGCCACCTATATTTCGTTTCTTAGTTGCGTTAAGTCGATAAAACAAAGTATTATCAGGAAAAATATATAAACAATAACTATTCAGTTCCAGCAAATCCTGAAATTGACTGGCGCAAAAGGTGCGCTATTCTATTTGAATTTCCTAGCGGCTCCTGACGGCCTGCGTTAACTCAAGAGCAGGTGCTGGTGTTTCTGTGGGCCAGGGCGATGAGAAGCCAAGCATTTGAGGAGGAGTGGATCATGAGCGGGGCGGAGCGGGATGGGCTGAGAGGCGAAGCAGTGGAGGAGCATGTCGAGCAGGAGCGGAGAGAATCAGGGAGGAAGAGGCGGGGTGGAGAGGTGCAGCGTGCGTGTGAAGAAGAGGCTGGTTCGGGCGAGACGGAGCGGAGATGCGAAGCGGAGAGGCGGGGAGGAGAGTAGCGGGGCGGAGATGGGTGAGGAGTGGA